ATTTAAAAAGAAAAGAACAAGTTAGGTGCACCACAGTTCATCGTCAAGTTCGAATTCCAAAAACTTTTTCCACGCTAGCGTGCAAAAAACGCTTTTGCGCGCAGATTTCTAAGGAGAAAGCCTTTTCGAGCTAGTGAGGGGAAAAATATTGTATTATTTTGTATTACTGTTACCTACTATGTAAACTATTAAAATGATAGTGAAATACAAAGTTGTACCTGTTAAAGTATCGAGGTAGATTTAAGATCAGAATAATAATTAAGTCTAAGGATCTCTAAAATATGTGAACCTAATCAGTTGTACGTGAACAATTTAAAGCTACGGTCGTCTGCATAATAGCCTCTGTACATCCTCAAACGCGCAAGTCAAGAGACATCAACCTGTAAACTCTGTCTTCGTGACTATACGTAGGTACAGTTTAAATATATTAAATTTCAATATTAAACCGAAATATTAAATTTAAATGAAAGATGTACAAAATAGTACTGATCGTAATATGTATTACAAAAACTATGGCGTGTAATTATAAGACTCTTGTGGTTACCACAAGTGGTCCAATACAAGGAAGACTAGTACGCGACTTAGGACTGAGTTACTACTCTTTTCAAGGTATACCATACGCTGAGAATCCCGTTGGCAAATTTCGTTTTAAGGTCAGTGTTCATAAAAAAACGTGTTATAAAAGATGTATTGTACCATTTATAGACCTGTGTAAATTTAACTAGTTTCTTTGCAAATAAACAGCCTCCCGTTCCGAAAAAACCTTGGTCCGAAGTACTTGATACAACGAAAACAGGTCCAGTCTGCATGCAAGCAGAAGGCACTTATAAAAACGAAGAAATGAGTGAGAACTGCTTATTTTTAAATATTTACGTCCCTGCAAATAGGACAGAAATTTCGCACCCAATGCCAGTGCTTGTATACGTCCACGGTGGCGAATTTAAGAGCCTTTCCGGTAACAATGATTATGTATACGGACCGCAATTGCTCATAAAAGGAGATTTTATTGTTATCACTGTAAATTACAGGTCGGTAAGCACAATAACTCTAATAGATACCGTAAACCGAGGTTACTTTGATCAATTTTGAAATTTAAACGTCTGTAACTTTTTATCCTGTGATTTTTTTTTAAATTTCGAATCGGTTTCAATTGTTCTCTCTAAAAACGTTAAAAGAACAAACAATTATTCAATACTTTTTGAGAAAAAAAAATAAAACAGCGTGACTAAAGTTATAATTGATTTATGGTTACTTTGAAACCCTTCTTTTTTAGCATGAATATTGAAACTAAACCCAATTACTATCATAAAACAGAAAAGAAATTAAAAATCAGTCAACAGGGAAAAAAGTTATTGCTGTTTTTATATCTTGGGGTAACTTCGATCGAATAAAACTACCAAATATGACAGAAGCTTTGTTTTAATTAGAGATTGTTGTTATTTATTATACAAAGTTCCATAAGATATATTATAAAGCTGTGATGCCCCTCTCATGGTTAGCTTACCGTCCACGATTTGACTCAATGCCTCTTCTAACCTGTCTTCTGAGTAATTTTGGTACTCGCTGGAACCTAGTTTTCAGTTTATGTTTAGTTATATGTTCGTGGCATCGTTCTGAAAAACAAATAATATAAACAATATAAAAAAATTAAAAGCAAAGCCACAAAGTAAATTTTCCTGCTAGCGGCTAGGGTGACTTTGACAAATTGATCAATTTCACACCATGCGCCTATGACACCCCGCATAAAATAAACCGACGCCATAACGGAAGCTTCAAGGTTAGAACCTTGTTAGAACAATAAAAAAATTTGTTATGAATCCACAAATGTACAATACTCTTTTAATTCTATCCAAACAATTCATGATACTAACACACACTGAGCTGCACATAAAGTTTTGCAACACATTAAAAATAGGTTGTAACGGAAAACTTACCTTTTTACATAAAATACAGGGAAATCTCCAGCGCACCCGCAGAAATGAACTTGACTGTTTATCAATATTGCCAGCCGAAAAAAAATTCTCCCAAAAGTAGCTGCCTTTTAAGCAATTTTTAGTTATATGTGAAAAGGAAATTTTGATCAAAGTAATCCCGACAATCAAAGTAACCCCGGTCTTCGGTAATACATTACCTAGTGAATCTAAATAATACTATATTGTTTTCAGGTTGGGAGCGTTAGGATTTCTGTCTCTTGGTATAGAAGACGCATCAGGAAACGCTGGTATTAAAGATGTACTTCTTGCACTGCAATGGGTGAAGGCGAACATTAATCTATTTGGAGGGAACAGTGACAAAACTACTTTAGGCGGCAACAGCGCCGGGGCGGTCCTCGTACATTATTTAACGTTGACAACAAAATCAACAGGCCTCTTTAATCAAGCTATACTGATATCGGGGAGTGCTCTAGGGTACAGATTCTTAGCACGCCATCCAGTCGAAAATGCAGTCGCATTAGCAAAACAGTTAGATATTCAAACAAACGACACATACGAACTTCTAAAAACACTAAAAGAGAAAGACGCTTTCGACATAATACAGGCACAAAAGGATATGGAACAGTCGGATAAAATAAAGGGAATCAGACCGTTTGCTCCATTTGTACCCTGTATTGAAATCGAATCGTCCAGTGCCATCCTAACGAAAGATCCTATAGAAATAATTATGTCTGGTATACCCCAAAATGTTCCAATCTTAGCAGGAATCAATTCCGATGAAGGCATAAAAATGTTGAAAGTTATAAAAATGAATCAAACGTTAATAGATTTCTTAAACGAAAATTTTGAATTATGTATTCCATCTAACATTGAATACCCGTACGGTTCGGAGGAATCCCAAGAGTTAGCCTCATCTATCAGACAGTTTTATTTTGACGGTGGAAACATTACAAATACAAAAATGCAGAGCTTTGTAGAATTTATACGGGAGACGCATTTTTCCTTTGCCGTGGACTACTGGATAAGGTTGCACAAACAGAGAGAAGGCAGTAAAAACTTGTACTATTACGTTTATAATTTCGAGGGAGATTTAAATTGGTTCAAGATAATAAATAATATAGACTTTCCCGGAACGTCGCATGCCGACGAACTGGGATACATATTCGTTACGAACGCGACGAGGTCGAAGCTGGAAAACTTGGATTTGAGAAATAAGAAAATGGTACAAATTTTTCAAGCTGTACTGGCGAATTTTATACATACTGGGTACGTAATAAAATATTTATATGTTAGCTATCTGTAAGAATGCGTACAGGTCTACGCATTCTTACGCTACAGGTCTACGCATGTAAGAGGCTCGCTTATGCAGACAAAGGATTATTGTAAAACCCTTTCGTACGAGTACGCAGTCGTTAAAAACCAAACCAAAGATCTGCAACAAGCACATAGAAAAATTGGTAAGGTCCGATTGTTCGTTACGTGGTTTAGTTGACACAGCGTCTAGCACGGTTTGCTAGAAGACACTGGTTCGAATCCAGCCGGATCGAAGGTATTTCTAACCGACTTGAAAAAAAGGAGGTTCTCATTCAACTGTATGTTTTGTATGTATGTTATGCGATAATTTGCGAACCGATTTTGAAGATTCTTTTTTTATTGGAAATATTCCAATTCTAAGGGTGGCAAACTAAGGATGAATGACTTGAGGTCGGTTTTTTAGTACTCTGTACTGTTTTTTCGAAGTGTTCGATCTTTGGATTAATAATTATAACTAACGAGTGGAGTAATTTGACAAAAAATAATTTAATATCATGGTGGTGAAACATCCTGGAGATTCAATAAACTTAATCAATTTCGTACCGTTCACCAGTATTATTTTCAGTACGTCGCGAGATGTACGAAATCCTATGAGTACATCTTTCTCTACTTTGATGGATAATAGGCACATTAGATTGTTTTTTCTTTCTCAGAAATCCAACTCCGTGCGAAAACGACATCGGCGTGATATGGCCTGAGACGGCGACAAGCGGTAAACACGTGATACTGAGTGACCACCCGGTGAATAGAACAGATTTTCCTCCATTCCCTGTAAATTTACACTTTTGGTACAAAGTTTACGATGATTATAACGAATACGTGAAGAACGGCGGGGAATTGCAGAATAAAACTGTACCATAAACTAATATATACAGGGTGTCCCGAAAACTCAACGTCAAGCGATCACTGGGCGAGAGGCAAGGTTATATCAGTTCTGGTAAAAATTAAAAAAAAATCCATGTCACTTAGTTAAGTGATAATAGGCATTTTTTTGAAAATGTTGAAAATCGATACCCTAGACCAAATGTTTACGTACTGTCATCACAAATTTTCAAATTTTGGAGTGATTTTTTTTAACGTCATCATAAATAACCATGCTATTTATTGCAGTCACAAATCAAACAATAAACGTTATGAGTTTAGTAAAAAAATATGTTTAATTGAGTCGTAGCTTAAAAAAAATATGTCAGCTAGCTTTGACACTTCATTTTTTTTTTTAAATGTACCACACTACCCTGGGCAAGTTATTTTAAAAGATGGCCCATATAATCAAGATTTCAAAATGGTACAATACTTGCCACTCTTCATTCCATAAAAAATATTATAACTTATTTTTTGCAAAAGGAGCTCGTTTCAAAAAAAACTCATGCAATGATAAATAATACTTTTGTGTGCTCAAAGATTGGCTTTAACATCGCGGAAGTGAGATGGTCATATGTGATAGAGTGAGATGGATAATGACAACGCATTAAACAAAATAATCTACCCTAACACATGTGAGTGTGTCAACTTAATAATTAGTCGATGGTTGTATTATAATAAATTTTAATCAAAATGAAACGAAAGGAACTATTGTAATACTTTAATGTTAAAGTAAATGCTCAAATTGTTTGCCTTCGGCACGAACACAGGCTCTGCATCGCCTCACAAAATATCTTTTTATCAATTGTGCGAATCTTCTCAAACTAATTTCTTCTGCTGCTTCAACAATTTTGTGGCGTAATTGGGCTAGATTTTCTATAGGTTTTGCATATACTTTTTCCTTTATGCAGCCCCAGTAAAAAAAATCAAGGGGGTTTAGGTCCGGATATCTACGAGGCCACAAAAATGAACCAAGGCGCCCAATCCACCTTCCGGAATATTCCGTGTTTAAATAATCACGTACAGAACGAGCATAATGCGCTGGGCAACTGTCTTGTTGAAACCACATTTCTCTATAGATGTTGAGTGGTACATCTTCTAGTAACGTTTGCAAATCGTTTTGAAGAAAATGTAAGTAGTTGTCGCCATTTAATGTTTCAGGCAACTCAAACGGTCCAATTATTTGTCCATTTAAAATTCCGGTCCATATGTTGACTTTGAATTGGTATTGGGACCGGTCTTCACGCATTAAATGCGGGTTTTCCGTGTGCCAGTCATGTACATTGTGTAAGTTTAAATAACCATCTTTTTTAAAAGTTGTTTCGTCAGTCCATAAAATTTTGTTTATAAATTGCGGATCTTCACGATTTCTCTCCAACATTGTTCTACAAAAATCCAATCTGAGAGAGTAGTCACGAGGTAATAAACTTTGTACACGTTGCAGCGTTGAGGTCTTCCACCGCTCGTACGAGCACTAGGCAATCGTCCTTCCGAGTATGCCAGGTGTACATTGACGAACACGCGGTGATCTGGGTGACGCTCTAAGTTTGGGTACCTCTCGCGATACAATCTAGCTGCGGCAGAGGCATTGCAATGGCATTCGCCGTAAATAAGATGCATGTTCGCATATTCTTCCGCTGTGTACAGATACGGCATGTCGCGAAAAGTGTTAGTTTTGCTAAGTACTAACTAATACAGTTTACACAACACAAATCGAGTCCAGGGAATAAGCCAGAGTCGTCAACACGGATGCAAGATCAAGTCGAGGGTAACACAAGCCAAAGTCGTCAGTACAAAAGTTACACGATTACGAGAAGATGCACAGTAAACGAAGGAACGTATAGCGTACTAAATGATAATAACCAATGATCAATAATAGAGCATCGGCGTCACTATCCGTCTCGCTGACTCTAATTCATGTCGCACAGCGTCACTATCCATCTCACTCTATTACATATGACCATCTCACTTGCGCGATGTTAAAGCCAATCTTTGACCACACAAAAGTATTATTTATCATGGCATGAGTTTTTTTTAAACGAGCCCCTTTTGCAAAAAATAAGTTATAATATTTTTTATGGAATGAAGAGTGGCAAGTATTGTACCATTTTGAAATCTTGATTATATGGGCCATCTTTTCAAATAACTTGCCTAGGGTAGTGTAGTACATTTTTAAAAAAATATGAAGTGTCAAAGTAAGCTGACATATTTTTTTTAAGCCACGACTCAGTGAAACTTATTTTTTTTTACTAAACTCATAACGTTTATTGTTTGATTTGTGACTGCAATAAATAGCATGGTTATTTAAGACGACGTTAAAAAAAATCACTCCAAAATTTGAAAATTTGTGATGACAGTACCTAAACATGTGGTCTAGGGTATCGATTTTCAACATTTTCAAAAAAATGCCTATTATCACTTAACTAAGTGACATGGATTTTTTTTTAATTTTTACTAGAACTGATATAACCTTGCCTCTCGCCCAGTGACCGCTATACGTTGAGTTTTGGGACACCCTGTATGTATGTATATATATATTAACTTTAATATAATAACTAATAAAATCCAGACAGGTAAATCAAAATACTACCTAACCAAACACGTATGCAAAATCTTCGCGGAATTACATGTTGGTTCCGACAAAACAGATTGAAACCACTCAACATTAAATGTACGGAAACCAGCCTGTGCATATAACCGCGCCCTGATAGGTTTCGTCCGAACACACTCCATGAGTAAATGATGACCTTTTAAACTTAAGCTAAAAATAAAATACGTAATAAAATTAACGTGTTCATTATTACCATTCCGATTTCCGTTTATTAAAAAGGCATAATTCATACAAATACTGCTTATTGTATTGCTAAGAAATGTACAACATTCGTTATAATAACAACTATGGGTAGTTGTCATTATAACTCCAAATAACAATATGAAACAGTTCAAATTAGAAAGTAGTTGTAGAGAACCCTAATCAAAGACAATTAATTTAGTGGTTCTGTTCGCTTTAACTAGTTAATAAACGCAATGGTTTCGCGCAAAGGGCACTGTACTACTACTATACTTTCACATAAACATAAAGCAATTAAGACTCGCATACGTTGGTCGCAGGTGACGGAAGAGTACTTGAAAGTTTTGTTAAGAAGGATTATCCAGTTTAACTTGATCCCTAGCAATTTGGAAAGCGGCGATAAGTCCAGCAAGCTCGATTCGCTCGCTGCAGCCTGAAGCAAGGCGGGCTTCAGAATCAGACATCTTGATCAATAAGGATATTAGCACTTCGGGTGGCAGTTTCACTGAAACAAATGAAAAATATCAAAAATAAACAACTGTAAGCAGATATAGATTTTTGCATTAATACATATTAGACGAATGAAAAACTTACTCCTTTGAATGATGGTATGAACTTCTGTGAGTATGTCACCAAGAGCTAATCCCTTAGTAATCTTCAGATCTTGAATATCTGAATAGATGTTTAGAAAAATATTCGCCATAAGAAGTAATCAAAACTCGTAAGCAAAACATAGCTTACCAGTAGACGTTAAATTAAGGCGTTGATTTTTGAAAATCACAAAGTCGTTGAAACTTCTGCCTGCGTGGTCGAACGGTAACCATGCTAGTCTATCACGAAGAGGTCCCGGGTTCGATTCCTGGGCCGGGAGAAATATTTATATGGCCTACATTTATTTCTCTCGTGAGTTTGGGTGTAATTTGTGGCTTTCTGTGTGTGTGCATGGCACTCGCGATGCAGGGTTTCCCTAGTGCGGGGCTAAGTGTGTTCGTTACACAGAAATCTAAATAAATAGGCACGTAAATGTCTGTGGTGCATTATTATCTGAGCGCGTTTTGACGCATTATGCCAAAAACGCAAAATGTCAAACGGGCAGAATGTCAGATTCCCAGAATGCCAAATTAACAA